AACAGAAATATATTATACCATATTATAGTGAATGATCATTCTTAGTAATTCGGGGAAAAAAGCAAATGAAAGTCTTCTTACCAGCTTCAAAAACTCATCCCAAGAATGTATAACCAATCCCAATTTTTCAGCTTCTTCTTTTGTTCCGGTTTGACACCGCCAAAGCTCACAACAGCTTCATTTGTGATTAAGCATAATTGATCATTAGGATCAAAGAATATAAAAAAGAGAGTGAATGGTTCAATTAGTATTACTCACTCTTTCATATTTTGTTGAGTTTGGACAAGTCTTAAAAAGCTGACAGTCAAAAAGGAAGTTAATTAAAAATTCACAGGATAATTGTCAAGGTTAAAAACAAAGTTACAATAAAAAAAAAAAGTGAAATATACCTCAGGGATCTTCTTCTCCTCCACAAAAGCAATTGAAACCTCTGCATGAGAAATGATGAATTCCACTGCACCAGCGCCTGTGTTCAAAACCGACTGTTTAACTACACTAGAACACTCAAAAGAGTAGAATCATCAAAACACAATTAACGGTTGGTAAATTTATACCTAATGTATCGTATAAAGGGACACAATATAGGCCATGTGCATTACATGCCTGCATTACAAGTGCACTATTAATCAAGTCAAGTAAAAACAATCAAAGGTATTATTAGCAAAGATTATACATATATTACACTTACCTCCATGCTAATGATCCACTCACAACAGTTTGTACCATAGATACCACATTTTTCTCCCTACATTTCCACATATTACACATAGAGACAAACTTAAGGCACAATAAAACCACATTTGAAGAATCTATATATAAACCCGTAAATATGAATATTTTTAACCTCCTGAATCCCACAACTACGTAGAGAATTTCCAAGTTTTATGACAATGTCATATACTTCTTTGTATGTTTTCCACACGTATTCCTGCCTAAGAATTAAAAACAAATTGGTAGATAGAAATATATAATTAAGCATTCGATTACAAAATAAAATGCAATGGAAATAGTAACACACTTCCCGTTAACAATCTCACGGCTACCAAGCATTCGATTGTTTGGATATTTCTCAACAGCCGTTCTGCAAGCAGAAGAGCACACCATAAAAAAAAAATACATTTATTGTTAAAATTCAGAAACCACTGAGGTAAACAAAGTTAAACTTGTTTAGAGAAAGAACAATATTAATTGTAAGATGAAAATCTTTAATAGACCAATTAAAGTTAATATAAAATGTGGTCACCCTAAAATTATCTAAGATAATGCCATGCAGGCATGAACAAACAAATTACATCACAAATAATAAAGACATAATTAAATGTATAACAAAAAATAAAAATGAATAAACAATGCATCTACACTAATTGCATCAACACATTATTATCTATTGGGAAAACATAAAAAGAAATGAGATCCTGACCGGAAAATATCCCAACAGCTTTGGATTCCATCAATCGGATTTGGGAAACCGTCCTTGGCAAAAGTACTACGATACACAGGACCAACCGAGGGATTGCCATCGGTGGCTTCCTTAGCCGCCTCCACCTCGAAGATGAATCTTTTCTGCGACGTCATTTTTCTCTCTCGTTCTCTCGTAGAAACAGAGCTTTTTTTTTAATGATCGATTGCTATATTTGAATCAAAGTAAGTGATTGAGTGAGTTCGCGGCTTAAAACCCGGTACTTTAAGAGCATCAACCAAAAATAGAGTTATAAAGAGTGTTACTCTATTTTAAGAGTGAATTTTTTTTATTTACAAAGTGATTATTCAAATCTGATATATTTTCAATTTCTATGTAAAAAATACATTTTTAATTTTATACTTGTACAAAATTATATTAAAATAATTTAGCTATTAGTCCTTTAAAATGCAACAAAAGACATTTTCCCCTATCAAACTTACACTATCGACTCAAATCGAAAATACATAGACATATATTATAAAGGTTGAAATATTGATAGAAAACAAAATAGACGTTTTGGAGTAATTAATTTTGTGGAACTATTGTTGTAGAACTTAGTACTTTATATAAAATTAAAATAATATTGTATCTCCGTTTCCTGCCAATAGAATATATTCGTAAATTCATTGAACTATTGTTGAAATAAATAAATAAATAAATTAAATAATAAATAAAATTTCTAAATTAAAAAATAAGGGTGGTTTTCTTAAAAATTAATCATAGGAACAAAAAATAGAATATATAATTGAATTATTTAAGGTAGTATATAATGTAATGATTGGACCAAAACTCCACTTTAGTGTTTTATTTACTATATATTTAGAGAGAAATAGAGAAATGAGTAGGAGATAGTCTAAGATAAAAACAATTTCCGACGAATGTTTACTGTGTTCTAACGAATTTCTGACGACTTTCTACTAAAAATCCAAAACTAAATTGAGAAATTTAAAATTATAGTTAAAACATTAATTCAATATATAAATTCTTATTCAAATCACAAACCAAAATATCAAATCAAAAAACATAAAAACTGAAATTATAAATCAAACGGATTGTTTACATTTTGGTTTTCGGTTTGGGTTCTCCTAGAAGGCGGGACCATGTGGTCCATGTCGAATAAATATGTCCATGGAACTCCTCATATTTACGTCCAACTCCTCAATCTTTAATTACCAGCTAGCTTGGTTTAGATTTACTTTTCTTCATAAGATTACATGGAAGAACTTTGGCCGACATCATCACCAAGATCCAAGAGGATGGATCCACATCCAAACCGTCCGCCCTTCATCAAGATGTTGAAAACATATTAAATATTTATTTATATCTAATTAAATGTAAATTACTAAGCAAATAAAAATAATTTATTACCTAGCTACTGATATATGGCATCCTTTTTAGCTTGAGTGAATTGAAAGTCACCCGGGAAATCTGCGTCAATGCCATGTTGCCACTGATGGCCACGGACTGTCTTTACTTTAGCAATGCTTCTTTAGCCACATATTTTTTCAGTTATGTCGTTGTAAAAAAATCTATTTGTATTGTTATTTATACGATATTAAGCCAACATTTTAGTTATACTATAGTATAGAACTCTAATGTTATCAATCTTCTAAAATGTATTCGATAACAATTCAAGATATATTCTTATGTTGGGTTGATATTGTAAGGGTTAAAATTTTGACTTAATTAATTGTTAGGGTTAAAGCTTTGCAATGTAGAGTTTAGTCGTGATTGTGATCTATAGTGCATAGATTCCAATATTATTATAAAGATTCTATGCTCATCAAAAGTTGAAGATGTCTATAATTGTTACGGTTTAAGTTTTGTGAGTTTTTGTTTAGATAAGTGAGATTTCTCCTAAATGCTAGATATGAAAACACTCCAAATATTGAAACTTGAAATGGTAGGAATGCAAAAGTCACTAAGGACTAGGATGGTCTACTATGCCATCATGCCCATTGTTGATGGTGATAATCGTAGCAAACAGATAAGATAATTTTAATGAGGGAACACAAAGGATTTTTCATTGAATAAATTGAAGTTCGGCATTTAAGGGTAATCTGGAAATTAGCCGAGCTTGAGATTACAAATAAGAAAAGAGTATTGAATAAGTCGGAGTGTCGAGCTTCATACTAGAGATAGAATCGAGTTATATTTCAGACTCCTCCTCCCGTTTGTGTGTGCCATCCTTGCTATTTATAGGTGATGTGATGTGTTAGATTTTCTCATGGGGTCGAAGTGGTTTGCCGTTATGTCCTTGAAGTGGCGGAATCATCTGATTTTTTAGAAGGCCGGCCGATCGTGAAGATGTGCGATCAATTTTGGTGGGCCGAGTTCTGCGGATGGGCCGAAATTTGTTGACTTTCGTAAACCTTTCTTGGAAAAGTCAATTCTTTTTTATGGGCCGGTTTAAAAAGAAAAGAGACAAAGTGAAGCCCATGTCCTAACATCTATCACTGTTTATGTTTAAGTGCATGAATAACCTATAGAAAAAAAAAAATCTAAAATACTATTAAAATGCAGATAATAATGTTAAACAAAATAAGCAGATACGAGATAACAAAAGAAATTAATTAACAAGAATTGTGATTAACTTGTTCTTTTGCAATTTTCTACAAAGTTCTTTTGGGGTTAATCACGTTCTATGAAGTTTCCATTATAAGACTTGGTGCATGGATGAATTATGCAACGCGTAAGGGTTTATGGAAACGTCTGTTCGAGATGAGAAAGGTTTAACTATATTTATAAGCCGATATTTAATAATTCTATCATTATATAATTATGTTTTTATAAAAAAATTCAATTATAAAAAATAAAATAGTTATTATGTTATAGCTAAGAACAAATTCAATGGTTGGGGTATCACATTGACATTGCAATAAGATTGCAGTTTTATTTTTCTTTTGTTATGAATATACCATATTTAGAAATTTTTGACATTATACTTCAATTTGAATAACGGTGCATTGGATTAATTATTCAACGCGTAAGGGTTTATGAAAACGTCTCTTGGAGATGAGAAAGGTTTAACTATACTTACAAGCCGATTTTAAGATTATCTAATTATGTTTTTATAAAAAAATTCAAATATAAAAAATAAAATAGTACTAGATAATAACCCGCACTATGTGCGGGACAAAACGATTATTAAATACATTTTAATGTATTAATTATATTGAAAGTGTTCGAATTTTATATTATTAGATAAACGGAAGTGTATTACTCCCTTCGTTCTTTTATAAGTGATGTTTTAAGCTTCTAATTTTGTTATTAAATAGATGATGTTTTTTATTTTCAATGTAAAATTAATTACTTTTACGATTTATATCATTTAGGTTATTTTTATTGGTTGATTAGATAATAAATGATGTTTTAGTTTAGAAATAAATAAAAAATAAATAATTTCTTAATATAAGTGCATTCTCCTAAAACATAACTTATAAAAGAAGGGAGGGAGTAATATTATCAAGATTAGTGAAAATTTTCATTTATGTATTAATGTTTTGTGTTTATCATGATTAATGATATATATCTTGTTATTTTAATAGATACACAAAATACAGTATAACTTCTATAAATTTATACTCGATAAATTAATAACCTCTTTAAATTAATAAATTCTCCCGGTCCCGAGTTGGGACCAGTGTAAAAAATAACACAAATCGATAAATTAATAAGATAATAATTTTTCTAAAAATCTTAAGTAAACATATGGTCCTGTTGGTGTCGGATCCCGCACCAGTAGACCGGGACCAACCAAAGATTGCCATGTAATCAGGATAAGGGCCCACAGAGGATAAGGCCCATTAGGCCCATGGTTTACAGGGTATAATCGAAGTGGGCGTCACCATAAAGAGAGCCCGGAGTGGTCACACCTCGGGATATGACTTGGAATCGAAGTCGGATGACTTGGGCCAAAAGGCGAAGCCCATGAAGATCGGAATCAATTCAAATTCAAACGTTGGGCATTAAAACTCGAAGACCAAAACGGACACATTTAAGAGAGAATAATTGTGTTTAATTGGGAGTTAAATGTCGTTTGTCAGTATAAATAAGAGGGCTAATAGCTATGTAAGGGAGAGGCAATTTTTCTAGCAAATACACTATAGTCATTTCCTATTGCAATTCATAGCTTTTTTATCGTATTTTTGTCCTCAAGAGTATTCATTCCCACAAGATAAACAAATATTCAAGTGTGCGAATCCGACATCCACATTTTGGCGCCGTCTGTGGGGAACTAGAAGATTCTTGAGTTGTCAGATTTCTCTCATTTCCGAGATAAGCAGCAATGTCTGGAGCAAGCATCCCTGATTCGTACAGTAGCCGAGGCTCTCAAGACCATGCAGCAAGCCATAACAGAAATGTCGCAGAAGTTCTCGGATGTGGAAAAAGCTGTGGACACGCTTAAAACAACCCAGGTATCTCTTGGTCAAAACATCAATACTATTCAATCTCGTGTTCGTTCTCTAGGTGCAGGAAGTACCGTGGGAGTCCGAAGAAGCATGTTCAGTACGCCAAACTCCCGTGTGCGAAATGAAACCAACGAACAAACAACTTCTAACCCAACAATCCAACCGGATGTGGAAGAAGAGACGCAGCTCGGAGATGAAGATCAGCTTGTAGATCAGTATGATCAAGAGAGCTTCGATCAGCTCGAAACCATGAGGAAGGTTAGCCAGGAACTAAAAGAAATGAAGTCAAAGTTCCACCAGGCCACCAGTTCGGAGCCGGACATCAACCGAGTCATCGAGGAAGCTAGGCGAACTCCTTTCATTCCGCGAATTGCAAATTTGAGAATCAAGGATTCTCGGAAACTCAAACTGGATCCGTACAGTGGATTAGAAGACCCAAAAAGCTATCTCGCAGCTTTTCTGATTGCCGCTGGAAGAGTCGAATTGGATGAAGCTGATGAGGATGCAGGATACTGCAAACTCTTTTCGGAAAATCTTTGCGGTCAAGCACTAATGTGGTTCACTCAGCTGGAACCAGGCTCAATCAATAACTTCGACGAGTTGTCGGCTGTTTTCCTGAAACAATATTCTATCCTCATGGATAAAAGCGTTTCGGATGCTGACCTCTGGAATCTAACACAAGGGCCAAATGAGTCACTTAGAACTTTCATCACCAAATTCAAGGGGGTGCTGTCAAAACTCCCAAGAATCTCGCAGCAGTCAGCTCTATCTGCCCTACGAAAAGGTTTATGGCATGACTCGAGG